TATATTTGTTTGTACATAACATCATAACATGGCATATCACACTAACGTTTTCAAGGACTTTTGGGACTTATTTTTGTGTCTGTTTTATAGAACATGGCTCCCATTCCCAGAAATACTATCCAAGTCAACCTCGTAAGGGTTCCTCCTCAACTCAAAGAGTTGGAATCAAGGGTTTCTCAGAATTAACCATTCACCAAAAGACATGGTCGATTCCTCAGTTTGGTCACCTCAAGCCCTGATGAAGACATGGTGAAAGTTCTATTTCAGTTCTTTGATCCTTTATATCATTGCTTTACATTTCCCGATTACCAGTTGGTGCCTACCATGGAAGAGTTTTCTTAGTTATTGGGAGTTCCTATTCTCAATCAATTAGCCTTCAACGGTATGGAAAGAGACCCAAAGCCCAAGGAGATCGCTCAAGCCCTGTATTTACGACAGTCCGACGTGATAAATTGGGAAACAAGAAGCGATGTCAATGGTTTTCTAGCCAAGTTTTTTGTTTGAGAAAACTCACCATTTTTGGATCCTTTGGACTTACAAGCCTTTTAAGAGGTGTTGGACCTTCTCATCTATGAGATAGTACTATTCCCTAATCTGGACCAACTCATTGACGTGAATACAGTCAAAGTTTTCATGTCCCGTAACCCAGTGCCTACTTTACTTGGAGATATTTTGCACTCTTTTCACACTCTCGCCATAAGGAGAAGAGGAACCCTTATGTGTTGCACTCCTCTGTTGGCTAGGTGGTTTATTTCACACCTACCTCGATCTGTTTTGAGGAATGAGCAAGGCATGACGTTGTCTAATAGGTTGATATCCCTCACGCATTCAGATATTCACTAGTGGCCTCGATCCGTGGAAGACATTACCATCATTGATCGTTGTGGGGAATTCCCTAATGTCCCTCCCCTAGGAATTATGGGAAGAATCACTCATAATCCTTGTTTGGCGTTGCGACAATTTGGGAATGTTCGGAGGGATGGTCCTTATGATGCATTGGTTTAGGGAATTGCATTCGACTATGAGAACGATGTCCAAGGGTACAGTCATAGGTTCATACGAGCTTGGGGCATGGTGAAAAAAGTGAATAGCAAGACATTAGGGAATAATAACTCCATCCCTTTGGAGCCTTATCTTAAGTGGGTGCGAGCACGTGCTCAAAATCTCATGATGCCTTACCCCACTATCCTACCTATCATCATGGAACCTATTTCTGAGACAGATGTATCTCATATTGTTCTCCATCCTGACATGTCGAGTACTCTCGAGGAATTGCAAAGATATTGGATTCAACTCAAAGAGGAACGAGACACCTTTGAAACCCAGTTCTATGCAAGCGAGAAGAAGGTTTTGGAGCTTACAAGACAACTACATGAAGAACAGATTTTGAATGCCTACATTGCACCAAAGAGGATGGCTCATGGGAAGCCTGATTCCTGTTTGATTTAGGAGTTTAGTTTTATCTCTGTTTCATCCATTGTAAGCCTAAGAGGCATCTTTGTAACCATTTAAACCTATGAATGCAATTAATGTTTGTTCTCTTTTTGTCAAAAAAAATTAAATCCTAAAAGTCCTTGAAACAATTGCATAAGCATATCATACATGTCATTGTGTAACAAGTATTTCGAGACATGTTTCTTATCTTTTTGTTGTTATTTCAGCAAAAAGAAATGGCTCTCGAACAAACAGTAAAGGATCTTCAAGCTCAAAACACCCAATTCCAACAAATGTTCTTGGCTCTGGCTAAGGGGCAAGAAGACCTGAAAGCTGTTATCATCAAAGAGAAGACGAACAAGGAAAAGAAACCAACTGGTGTATTAAATTTGGGAAGAAAGTTCAGAGGACCAGCTAAGAGAACTCTAGATTTCCAACCCCGTCAAACGAGGGGGACAATCAATAGGAGAAGCCAAAAAAAGAAAACAACAACCCAGTGACTGACGAGGAAGAGGCTGACTACTCTGAGGAACAATATCCTCTTGCTGATGATAAATACAAATAGTTGGAGGATCGTCTCAATGCTATGGAGATTTAGAGCGTACCTGGGTTAGATTTTGAAGAGTTAGGACTGGTCTCAGGGGTGGTCATCCTGCAGAAATTCAAGGTCCCCCCACATTTGCTAAGTATGATGGTGCCTCTTGTCCTATGCTACACTCAAGGTCATATGTCAAGAAGATTCAACCCCACACTACTGATAGGAATCTGTGGATACATTCCTTCCAGGAAAGTTTGTCAGGGACATAGTTGGAATGGTTCTATCAACCGGAGGGAACCAACACCCGTAATTAGGAAGACCTGGCTGCTGCTTTTTATAAGCAGTACCAATATAATGATGACCTCGCGCCAAATCGTACACAATTGAAAATTATTTCTATGGATTTAGACGAAGGTTTCAATGATTATGCCCAAAAATGGAGGGATCTTGCGGCAATATTCCAACCTCCTTTGTCTGATAGAGAGCTGGTGGACATGTTCATAGGCACGTTGTCTGGTCCATTTTTCAACCATCTGATTGGAAGCTCTTCAATTGGGTTTACTGAGTTGATTTTGACTGGTGAGAAGGTAGAAGCTGGTATCAAGAGTGGTAAGATCCAAATAAATGCATCCTCATGTACGGTAAGGAAACCCTTCACTGGAAAGAAGGAGGTCAGTGCTACTTATGGCCAGAGAAATCAAAGCAAAATTGAACATCGTCTGACAGTAGGGGAGGTTATGATCTCTAATGCTGCATCAAATCAACAACAAAACAACAAGCGCAGGTCGGATGCACCCAAAAGATAGTTCACCCAGATCAACATGACCTTATCCCAGGTTTTTCCACACCTGTTAAAGTCCAATCTGGTGACCCTAAAGGATGCTCCAAAGAAAAACTAATATTGCATCTCCCTGCTACAACCCAAATACCCGATGTGCCTACTACTCTAAAAGCCCGGGGATTGATACAAACGATTGTTGGGCTCTAAAAAATAAGGTGCAGGAGCTTATCGAGGCGAAAGAGATTGAGTTTGACCCTCTGGAGACCCCTAATGTAATAATTGCACTAATTCCCAAACATGGCCAGGGTGTCAATGTCGTTGATGAAGACATGTTTATTTCTTCTATGGATGAATTAGCTACTCCTCTTCTGATTTTTAAAGAGAATCCGTTGCGAGCCGGTTTATTTCCGGGTTATGGTGAGGATTGCCACTTATGTATGTCTCTATCAGATGGTTGTTTTTTGTTAAAGATAGGTGTCCAACGCCGGATGATTAATAAAGAAATCTTGTTTGATAAAGTTCCCCCTGCAAAAATTTCGTGTGAAGATGTATCAATAATCACCATTTCTGACATTCCTCCCAGGGTCTCCACTAAAAGACCCGTCAGGATTACATCCGTTCCCATGTTTTTTCTCCATTGATTATCACCCTTCCTGGGCCGATAACATATTCCTCTGATAAATTTGTTCCTTGGAATAATGGGGATAGCGTTTGAAACAACCGGCTGAAAATCATCAAACAATGAAGTCGCCATCGAACGTCTTTTATCCCACATGTTGGGAAAGGTAAACATCGAGTAAACCTGAGAAGGGAGAAGTCACGGTCTTGCGACCTAGAGATAAGGGTAAGGGAGTCTGTTACGCGAGGGGAAGTTATTAGCACCCCACACGCCCGTAGTACTATATGGTATCCACTCTTGTTGTCTATCTTATGGGTGTGTTCAATCTATGCTTACTGTTTATTACTGCTAAAGGGAGAATGCATGCAAAAGAAAGGATAAAAGAATTTAGGGAAAATAAAAGTTGTGCTCGTTCGGGCCCTACCCCGATGCCTACGTATCCCTTTTAAGGAATCAGAGCAGCCGTAGTTCGGCTCATGTTTTTGTTGGTTTATATTTTGTAATGAACAGTATTAATTTCACCTTCTGCCGCAACTCTACCTTTGGAGACTTACGCGTCAGCACAAAAGTGAATTAACATGCTCTTTTGAAAAAGTTTGGAGAAAATGTGCTTGGGCGCACAAAAAGGTTTGAATTGGTTTGTGTTTTTAATGAACGGTATTAATTTCGCCTTCTTTCGCAACTCGACCTTCGAAGACTTACACGTCAGCACAGAAGTGAACAACATGTTCTTTTGAAAATGTTTTGAAAGAAAGGCCCGAAGGAAAAAAGAGTTTGTATCGGTTGGTTTTTTTTGCTTATGGATAACAGCTAATTAAGTTCAAGAGAGAGATTTTATTCATTTCTCCACTTATTCATGAAATAAGTCTTGGAGACTTTAACCACACCAAGGCTTAGAATAAGAGAACAATAAGGTCAAGAAGAAACCCGCTTTTCATCTCTCAACGTAACAAAGATATGATTCTCGTCAGTAAATTTTTTTTAAGTATTTTAAAGTTTGTAAGAAAAAGAAGTTTTTGTTTTAGTGCAAATGCAAAAGGAAAAGAAAAGTCAAAGGGGAGACTAGCCTATTTCTATACCTAAGGTTATCATACTTCACACGATCCCTAGGAAGCGATAGATGCAGAGTGAAAGTAGAAAGAAAATATACCAAACGAGTATTAGCCCGTAGAGTAAAGCAAAAAGCAAAGAAACCTGATGATCTCGCGAGCTGCTAGTATCAATAAAGAAAAAGAGTCAGCAGTTGAACGGTAGTATAGGTATCGAAGCGCCATTGATGTGAAACTAAATCACAATCGAAAACTCAAGCATATATGCATACCCTGCATAGTATTCCAACCTCAACAGTAAAAGTAGGTTAGAAATCGTAAGAATTTGAATAATCAGTATTTAGTTCCTAAAAAAACAAAGATAAAAAATCTAACCTATTTTATTGATGTTACTATTTTTATTATATGAAGAAAATTCCCAATAATCGAAAGCAAGAATTACCAAGAAAAAAGAAACCAGGGGGTGTATTATTCTGGACAGGGATTGAATCAGTAATTAATACCAAGGCCCATCATGAAGGTCCACTCTTTTTTTTATTCAATTCCTAATATGCTTACAAAAATAACAAACAAACTGTAATGAGCTTCAAAGGGAGATCCAGCCCAACGCAAACCTTTCCGAGTCCACTCACTCAATCTTTGGTATTTTTGTTTGATTAAAAAAACAATTAATGATGTCAAAAATAAAGAGAAGAGGAAAATTATAATTAAGAGGAATTTAGGGTTTTTATTGTGTCCTTTCAGCTTTGTCTACTCGCAAACTCTATCCTTCCTTCTTCTTCAACCCGCCGGTGCAATCTCCGAAACCTCTTTCGCCGCACCGATTTTTCCTCTGACGCCATAGCCCCCATCATCTTTGTCTACTCACCATCCTCCACCGCGAACCCTCTCTATCACTCGCCTCTCTCTATGGACAACACCGTTGTCATAGTGTCAAGATCCCGAACCATTATTTATCGCTTTCAACAGCTTCCTCTCAGCCTCAGCCAATCATCACAATCGAAATCAAACTCTAGTATGAAGCTACGAAAATCAAGGCAAAATAGCGAAGAGATGGAGTTTAGGGATCTTACCAATCGGAGTATGACCGACCCTTCTTCAATGGTTTTGTAAAGAAAACGATTTCAGAGATAATCTGGTAGGTACTTTCCAATTTTGCGCGTTTGAACTTCGATCTTCACTTCACTTCTCTTTCTTATTTTTTTTTTTGTTACGCGTTTCTGTTTTGATGCCTCGCATGGTTGTTGCGATGTTGATCGTTATGCGTTTTATATGTCGTTTGATGTAGAAATGAAGATTGAGTGATGGAGATTTTTTAGAGAGAGAGAGAGTGAATAAAGATGAAGATGATGGTAAAGGGGTTCAATGTGAAGAATGAAGGTTGATCATGTTGTGTTGAAGCGAGGTGAGGAAGAAGATGCAGAGTTGATAGAGGATCTTTGTAGAGAAATAATGGCCACAGAGGATCTAAGAGAAATGAAGGTTTTTTCTAAGGTACTGATAGGTAACCAGAGTGAAGAGGAATGCAGAGATCCTTTTATTGGTGAGCTTTTTTCTCTGATTCTAATGTTTTTCTTTTGAACCATCGTCTATCTTTTCCTCTCTTTTTGTATTCTGTTATATTGATTTTCTGTTGAGAAGTTTGTTAGACTGTTAGGAATGATGTTTGAATCAGTTAGGGAATGGTTGAGAATTTGTTAGAGGGTTTTTAGAGGTTAGTTAGGAATTGGTTGGGTAGTTGGGAAATTGAAGTTAGTTATAGGCTTGTGAGAAGTTAGCAATTCTGTTTAAGTTTGTTAAAAGTTGGTTATTTGAACTTGAAAGTTAGTTATTGCTTATCAAATTCTGTTATGAGCTGTCTTGTTAGTTGTTGGGTTCTGTTTAGAAATTGGTTGTTATACAGAGCCGCCAATTCTTGTTTTCTGATGCAAGTATGTAGCATGCTGTTTGGAATGGTTAATTACATCCCTCTTTTGAAGTTTTGTTAGATGGCTAAGAAATTAAATTAAGCTGATTACTGACCATTACAGGCTAGTTAGACGTTGTTAGTTGCTAGTTTTATTGGAACTCTTAAGAAAAACCAGTTAGTTCTATTAGATGGCTAAAAAAGGTTGAAAATTAGAACTCTGTTGGTTTAAATTTATTCTTGATTTTCTATTAGTGAATGCAGCTTATTCATTGACCTTCTTTTCTTTTTCGTTATTTTTTATGATTTCTGGTATGAACTAAATGCAGGGATGATTTGCAGTTGAGTTTTCCAAAATTGAGGACTATTGAACTACATTTATGAACATGGAAGGGCTGTCGTATTTGGATTTGGTGCATGCCAGGAATCGTTTTGACACGCCTTCACTAATTATATGCAGGGCCGGTTGAGTCTGGTTGTCAGCTTGGTTTTAAAGCTTGAAATAAAACAAGAGATTTGGTTGAAGCACTCCAAGGCACGGCCTGACGAAAGTGAGCAGCATGAAGAAAGCTTGTGACATTAGGATTAAAGCAAACGATTTGTTCAGTTTTTTTTTGTATTTGATACAATTTGAATGTAGTAATATTTAGTTTCTTTTCTTTTTTTGGAAAATAGTGATGGAACTTGGAATGAGATTTGCACCCTTCTTGTTTTAATATCAGGGAGAGGAAATTCAATGTTCCTGTCTATTTGACCTGGTCGCAGCAAAGATGGATCAAGGCTTTCAATTCTGTTTGTTGCGAGAATAACTTTTACATCTCCTATAGAATCAAAACCATCTAACTGGTATAGCAAATCCAACACTGTCCTTTGAATTTCACGCTCTCCACCTGAGTGGGCATCAAACCTACCACTGTCAGCATGTGATTCTAAAGGATCTTTATCTTTCTTCATAACAGAAACCATTGGATCAACTTCATCTTGAAGAAGCCCAACAACAGAAAGAACCTTATTATGCATCAGAATAGAGCAACCAGGTTCCAACTGATCCTTATCAATGAAAGAAAATATCCCCACATAAAACTCAGGTCCAACCGAAGTAAATCCTAGTTACTTGATCAGGAATACCAAATGTTATATTCTCTTTGGTTCCAAGGAGAGATCTTGTAACATACAAACTGCTAAGACAAATTGGCTCAACAAGCAATATGCTATCAACCCAATCATTAAAAGGTGGAAGGCCTCATCGCTCAGGTTGAAACTATAAAAGTTAATTTATAGTAACATTTGCCAGCTTACAACAATCCGATTCATCGGGAGATGGTGCTGCGACTATCTTCATTTTTGCAGCGTGATCTTCCTTGACACCAACCAAGGAATCTTCAAACACAAGGAAGTTCGTTGCGTTTACGCTTATTCTCTTGGCAGCTTCTTTAAACAAATCAGGAGCATGCTTCCCAAATTTAACCTTGTCATTTCCTAGAATTACAGAGAAGCTTTCTGTCCAACCTTTATGGTAAGGAATCTTTGCATATATGTATTTGAAGCAAGAGCCATCGGAACACCATTTTTCAAAAAATGTTTGATGATTCGATTAGCACCAGGAAATGCTTTGGCTTCTCTCCACCTTTGAATATAGAGAGGGTTAATTTCTTTGATAAGTTGTTCCGGAATTAATGAGATTCGATAATCCTTAACAATTAAAACTATTGATTCCTTCCGAGTCATTCCTAACCCTTTTTCTTTTCTTCTCTTTCCTTATTCACTTCCTTCCCATACTTTCTCAAGAAGTCATTCAACACACCCCTTGTAGCCTTTTCAGTATCAAGAAGTGTGCCATCTAGGTCAAAAATGATAGCCAGAATATTGGGTTGATTGCTGCAGCCATTGATCTTGCAACAATTGCTCGTGGCAGTATAAAATATGAGATTGGAATTGGTAGATTACAAGTTTAAAGAATAATATGTGATGACTGTTATTTGGAAAGAACTCAAATGAAACTGCAGATCTTTGACGGTACTTGAATAGAATTATCCTGAAAACCTTAATTCTATACATACTCCTTACGAAAAGTTTTTGCAAAATAGAACTTTGAATTATGTCGAATGCAATGATATTTTCCAAATAAATGAACAATTTCTGTCTTCGATTTGCCTTTGTATTTTGCATCATTGATAACTAATTTTTCTTGAAAGCTTTATCATGTCAAAGATGTGACCCACTGCATCATACTATCTGACGCGATTCAATATCCATTCTCGATTCATACCCACTTTTGAAGAAAGTCCAGAGCACATAATTTGCATTAAAAGTAGATGAATATGGAATGTCGTTTTGATTAATGAGTAACTCCCAATATTGCAGAGAAACCGAAATAATGGTCAACGCAACCCTAAACCACGGGTGCTTGCCGACATGACGAAAACACATCTCAATCCATGATAATGAGAAATTTATTTGAGAACACAATCCTCGTAAGTAGTGGAAAACTTGACCTACCACAAAAAACATGTCTTGTCTTGTACACCTTGAAATATTATGAAAACTATAGAATTACATACCCACAGAATATTGAACCTTAAGTGCTTTAATGAATGAAATATATGCCATGTTAGTAACCTAATGAAAATATGTGACTGCAATGGTATGCCTAAGCCAAATATAAGAAACTAGGAGGGAAATTTTTGGGGTGCAACATCGTCTATTACCATGGCGTCAAGCAAGACCTATTGGATGTTAAAGATAAAACTTCTAAAGATACTGATCCTGACATCTACAACATCGTTGGGACCAGTAAAATTACAAGAAGCAGAAGGGTTTTCTCTCCTAAAATCTCTCTGAAGACTGTTACTACTCCTTTGGTTATTCATGTTTCCACTCCTACTGCTACTCCTGTTATTACTCCCATTGCTACTGCTACTATCCCTGCTACTGAGTCAGCTAAGACTCGGGGCAAAGAGGTACTAGTTGAGCCTGTCCGAATGAAAGAGCACAAAGAAGTCATTCATGAGGCTTCTAAAAAATAAATGGAAGAGATACTGAAGATAATAAAGAAAAGTGATTACAACGTTGTGGAGCAGTTGGGGTAGACCCCTTCAAAAATCTCAATGCTGACCTTACTTTTATGCTCTGAAGCCCATTCTAAGGCTTTGGTAAAATTCCTGAAGTATGCTCATGTGACTCAAGAAACCTCTACCGATCAATTCAAGAATTGCGTTGCTAGTTTGACATTAGACAATGGACTGGGTTTCTCTGACGCAGATTTGACATCCAAGGGAAGAAAGCATAATAATGCCCTGCATGTCTCTATTGAGTGCATGGGCACTACCCTAGCTCATGTTTTGGTGGATACAGGTTCATTGTTGAATGTTATAATACGATGGTAGAACCGACTGTTATACTGGTTTTACGTTTGTATTTGAAAATGTTGCGGTAAGCAAGAGTCGCCACTGACTTTCCTTTTATCCAACAAAGGAAAGGGTGAAAAGAACAGAAAAAGACCTTTCGAGAGTTTTCTGAGTAAGGGGGTAGATTATGGAAAGGGAAGTTGTTAGCACCCTTTCCATCCGTAGTTTTCTATGGGCTCTTAGATTCTTATCTCATTTTTGAAATACCTTATGCTTTTGTGTGTTTTGAAAAAGTATTTTTGAAAGTTCTTTAGTGCGGCGATTCTCTTTATGGTAACTCGTGTATCAGTCTTCAAAAGTGTTGATAAAGCATTTTTTTAAAGTGTGTTTTTTTGAAATGTTTTTTGTAAGTGTAAAAGTTTTGTTTTTGAGCAAGCATCTAGGAATTATCTACTTATACTCGAAAGGGTCCTTCTTTTCCTCTTTTCCTTTAGACAATGTTATCCTACTATTAGTGAGTAGGTAGCCCTATCGTTGGATGTTTGAGGGACTTTCAAAGGGACGATTTATAGTCACAAAGGAAACTTGGCAAGAAGTTTTAGTAACTACCCTAGGGTTCTAAGATCATATTTTTACCGAGGCAACGTCGAGAGGGTCATCGAGGGACTTATGATCTTTTGAACATGAGGGTAGCCACTAAAATCTCTCAAGTTTCGATAGTTGTGACTATTTCCGAAGGCAACTGAAGTGGGAATATCCTATAGGTGTATATGTGCAAGTGTGTTGTGTTTAGTTATTTGTCTTTGAATTTAAGTTTGCTAATGTTTAATTTTATTCTTGCCATAAAATCCTATTAGTGTAGCAGTTAATATATGCAGTAATTAAAAGTGCGGAAATATAAATCTAACTATTACAAGGCTTCAGGGAGGGGGATTATTACATGTCCAAACTTTGGGGAATAAAGAAAACAGTAAAGTAAAAGTCCTAATTAACTCTATTACATCCCGGTAGGCAATAAAAAAATATGAAAATAAAATGCGAAAACTAATACATTCGTGGTTTTTATCTATTTTATATTGTTATAAAAAAGATTAAAAGAAATAAACAAATAAAGAAAATAAATAAAAGAAAATGCAAATGGGCATGATAGCAAAAGAAATAGGGGGTGTGTTGTAAAAAAAATGCTAGGCCCAAGCAAGGAGGAGCCCAGATCTGTTTTGTGATCCAGTGAGGAGAGATTTTGGGGGTGCATGATAGGCCTACACGTTGAGATGTTGGGATTGGGCTGACTAACACTTGGAAGCTTGGATTGAGAGGGTGTATGGTGTGCGCCTTGAGTCTAGGAATACTGGATCTGCAGTAAATTTGTTAGAAAAAATCAAAATCCAGACCTGGGTATCGAACACAGGTCTCTCCCCTTTACACACGTTCACTTCACCAATTGAGCCAGCTTGTCAATCGTTAATACAAATAAAATCAAAATATTATATATGAAAATGGGTCAGAATATTTAATATTTAAAACGCGCGCGTTATGAAATTCAAACGAGCCAATCAGATAGCACAAAATTGCCACCCCTACTCCCAAACGGAGTCAACTAGTCAACGGTGCCGGAGGAGACCTTCAGTTATCTTCTCCGGGCATACGAAAATGTGATCTATGATTTTAGAAACTTTAAACCCAGAATCGAAGGCCTATTACACACAAAATTGCACCTTGAACTCGAATATGACCTTATTTTTACCAGATCAAACCTTAATCGTTTATTTAACCTCAAGATCCGGATTATTCCCTAAACATGGTAAATCCTTGTTTGAACACCTATCTCTTCATGTAATACGTTAGAAACAAGCAGAGAGAAGATATGAACATGAAATGCAAATTAGAAACACTGATATTACATGTATTGAAAGATTCGATTATTCGAAATTTACCAAATTGAGAAGATTTGAATGGTCTATTTCAGGCAGTTTCAAGCATATACGAGAGATTCTTCAACCCCTAGGATCCTCAGGTGGAAGGTTTAAACCTTTGTTTGGATTGAAAAGGGATCAAAATCTGGTTTTGTATTTTTACAATTTTGGATATTTTTTTGGAAATTTTTGGCGCTTTTCTCGGGCTGTGTATGCGTGTCCCCTGCTTGCAAATGTGCTGCATATTTATAGAGGGAGAGAGAGCTTGTAAAGAAGGGAATAACATCACACAATAACTATTGTGTTTAAGGCCATGATTCAAAATTTGAAAATATTCCAAAAAGGAATTTTTCATGCCATTTCCAACTTTGAGTGTATCTGGTCATATTTGCACGAAATCTTGGGCTTCAAGACAAGTCATAGCACCAGCCTAAAGGCCAAGGCCCATCTCTACACATTTTGTATAATTTATTTTATTTTTATTTGAAATAAATCAAAATAAATATGAACAAAATAGATAAAAATTTTAAGGCAATGCAAAAATGAGATTATAGGTCCCCTATAAGGTCGTGAGAATTTTTGAACCTAAAAAAATTTAGGCCATTACCCAAAAGTTTAAATTTTCCCAATGCACCATCTTTAAATTTACTCAAATTTTCCCAACTTGGGAAACCCATAACTTGCTCAATTTTTTATCTCATGATGATGATCTTGGACCTTTTGGAAATCCAAATATGTCTACTCCAATCCTACTTTGGAT